AGACATGTAGTCCCTATTCCTTTGCTATAATGAGAATACAATTTTTATTGAAGACACATTATTTAAATTATTTTAAATGTCAAAGCCCATATTTAATTGCATTGGAAAATTAAAAGTTATAAATTACTTTATGCTTCAAAACCCATATTAAGTTTCACTGGAATACTTCTAATAAGAATATCAGAAAAAAAAGAGATGTGATATCTTAAAACAAACCAAGAGAACCTACTTTCAGTCCTGAATTGTTCTTGGGCACAAGCTGAACACTTACCATTTGATTCCTCCCTTTAAACTGTACAGTGAAAAAAGAGAATGAATATAAGAAAGCCTAATTTCAAAGCTTTTAAAAACAAACAATTAAAATATTTTACGAATTATTCCAAACAGTTTTCAAAGGCAAACGAAGAATAATTGAAAAACAAATGCTTGGATGGTTTCTTTAATATAAACAGTCAATTAATATATATTTTGTATGTTACATGTATCATATATTGTACCCACATAAAACTGCAATTTTAATGAGATAAAATTTCTGTAAAAAGTGTGTAGTTTTCACGCCTATGGAACAGCTACAACTGCAGCTTTACTAATTTCCTTTTTTGATATATAAAAATGATTCATTTATCTTGAAATGAAGGACAAAGACAGAACCTCATTCTACAGTACATATAAACATTTAAACTTAAAACATCATGACTTTCTTGGTTTCTTGAGAGCACTTCCAGCATCACTAATGGCATATCATATTGATCCATCGTGCCATTCAAGGTTTACAGTACAGCAGTGTAAACATGGAAATGTGTGACCAAAACTACGAGATCACTTTTAAATGTGATTTGCAATTTGCTGGAGACACAAACTGCTCAGATGGAGATAAAAAAATATATTGTTGTTGTTGTTGTTGGTATATACCGTGGAGTAGGTTCTGACTCATAGTGACCCTGTACCAGGTTTCCGAGGCTGTAAATCTTTACAGGAGCAAAAAGCCTCATCTTTCTCCTGCGGAACAGCTGATAGTTTCAAACTGCTGACCTTGAGGTTCACAGCCCGATTAATAACCACTACACTACTAGAGCTAGCATTCATATTAGCATTCTTTAAAACAAAAACAACAACCTTGTGTATACAAGGATTTGTGCAATTCAAACCTGTGCTGTTTAGGATTAACTGTATTTCTTTAAGTATAAACTTGATTCATTTCATATTAACAAGAACTCTGAATCTAGAAACCAAATAAAACTGATTTCAAAACACTGAAAAACCGTTGCTTGTTCATTAATTTCTAGTCTTAAAAAAATCTAAAATTATAAAGATACCTAACATTTCTCCTCTAAATATTTACTTCAATTGTTATACGAATGGTCATATACTTATTTACATAACACTTAAATCAAATATTCTTCAGTCATGATATGGTGCTACAGGTTAAGTACCAAATGACTCACTGCAAGGTTGGCAGTTCAAACCCCTTAGCTGTTTCTTGGAAGCCCTATACAGGATCACTGTGAATCAGAACCAACTTGATGGTACGTACCAACAATAAAAATTCTTTAAAAATATAAACAACAGAAACTGTTACTTATCTACTATAACTATTAGTTAAAAGAACCCACAAATACTCTAGCATTGTTCAGCAAGCTTTTTCTGTTAAAAGCTAAAGAATATACATTCTAGGTTTTGTTGATCTAAAGTAGCCTTTAAGTATTCTTTTTCGATTTATTATTCTCATCAACCCTTTAAAAATATAAACAACATTCTAAGCTCTGTGTCTGGGCAATAGATACAGGCCAAGCCATATTAATTTTTATTATGATGCTGCATATATAAAATGTCTTTTAAATAACTATTAAACCAAGTATCTTACTTAATATTTACATGTGAGACAATCTAATACTAAGTGCATAATCTTGAAAAACAATTCATTTCTGAAATGCCTAAATCTGCCTGAGTATTATAAATATCTAATTTATCATCATTTCAATGTATATTTATAAAATTTTTGCATCATTAGTTTGAAGACCACACATGCTGCTAAATTAAAATAAGAATTTGCATTTTTAACAGTAAAGTACAATTAAGCTATAGTAATCCTTAGTTAACTACAACATTATCTAGCCTATTCTGTATTAAATGCCCCTAAATACCTAAAAAAAAAAAATATTGGCAAGTAATACATCTAAAAATTTGGGAAAGGATTTTAAAAACTTGTCCAACATCAAGTTTTTATGAATAACTCAATTAAGTTTAATAAGAGAATGCACTTCACTCACTTCTAGTCATCAAGGTGATAATTTCATATATTTTTAAATTTTCATATATATTAAATATTTCATATTCAAATAGCTAGATAGCCACTTAAAATATGCAAAACTTACACAAGAGAAAAAGTATAAAAGCTAATTCAAATAATTTTCCTATAAGCATGCACTTCAATAAAAGACATTATTTAATTTCAGGTAAATAAAGGAACAGGTAGAATTTCCTGTTAAGTGCCTTCTACTCAGTTCAAACACACAGCCACGCTGTGTAGGGTTTCAACTGCTAACCTCGTGGTTAACAGTCCAACAATTTTCCAAAAGCACTACACCAGGACTTTGCATTTGACTATAAGCTGATAATAAAAATACCAGTACCCATTTTTCACTTTCTAAGTCAAATGAAATAACATTAAAAATAGATTATTTCGTTAGAAAGTTAAAGGACTCCAAATTTTCAGTCTAATGACTTGGATACATAGGCTGAATGGGACCAAAGAACTATTTTAACATACAACCTAAAGTGCATTTTTATTTAAAAAAGAGAATCCTATGTTTGTAAATGGAGATATGAATTTTAAAAGGACAAACTGCCTTATTTATATAGATGAACCAAAATTACAAAGTGTGATAAAGATTTTTTACAGGCAGTAAGTTTCACATAAGAATATCATTTTTAAACTATTGTGTAACTGTTTAATGCAAAAAAAGTATGTTCTGTAAATTAATGGTGTAAATCCCATACGAATATTTTATGTATTTTTATAATTTCAGATTTCTTTTTATTTAAAATGAGTACTAAAGCATTTTAAATAATACCTGTCTTGTAACATTTAAAAAAGAAAAAAGATTATTTTACTGTAATTTCAAGGGGTTTCCTGTTACCCAATCCCCAAATAAACAATAAACCCATGATGAATTCCCTAAATTTTAAAATTATTTAAAAAAAATTTTTTAATTAACCAGGAACAGATAAACTACTTAGCAGTATCACCTATCCTCTGCTCCAGGTTGCACAATGACCCAATTATTGAAAATGCTCTTTTGTGATCAATATTTCTTAATAAACTAGCTCACAGCATATCTAATGGAATATACATATATATAGATAGATCACTTTAAGTTGATGCAAAAAAACAGGACAAAACTTTTCATAATTTCCTTAGTTTCATGAGATGAGGTACCATATATCACTGTTTCAAACAAATAAATTTGGTGAAGCGCATGGACCAAGATTAGGCCCAAACCAGAGACCACTTTTCAATCTGAAGTCAGCTGTGATGGGGAGGGCAGGTTCTGATTTTTCTACTCTTGTCATACTTCTTCCTCCTCTTACTTTTATAAACTTCATTACTACTAGCCTACTAAGGATCATTTGTTTTTAGAATCAGAATCGCTTCCCTATATGCATGTTAATTAACTGTTCAAATAAATCAATTTTAATTTCTTTGTGGTTTGCTAACTTTTAAAATACTCACAATAAAATATCATCACATCATTTATCTTCATAACTAACAGAAAACTTAGACCAAAGCTAAAATACATTCTAAACAAAAGTTACTCACCAAAGCAAGAAATCAGAATTGCAAAATTATACTAGAAATTATTCAACAAAAATTTACAATGCATTAAAAAAAAAAACTTACTCGGTAGGTGAATATAAAAATTAATTCTCTAACTATAGAAATTACCTTTCCTAGTTGAATTTGAGTGCCATGTAATTTTCATATGAAGTATATATACTTGATGGAAGATGAGAAAATTTTCTTTTTCAGAACAAGTTTAAATTTATTTTATTCCATGTGCATATTGTTTTTAATTAAAATTTTTTCTATTTTCTAGGAACCGAGAAGCTCAGCAGAAAATGTACCAATGATCTGAATAAACACTTTTACACTCAGAAAACTTGAGCATCTTTTTAAAAAGTTAATAACATTTGAATCATTAAAGAAAAATGGTTTTCAGTAGAGTTGATAAACTGGCATTCTTCTCAAGTGAACAGTGAGACTTTTTTTAAAGGTACCAATATTGTTGTTAAATGGTGTCTATAGCAACCCTGTATAGGTTGTTTCCGAGGAGTAGCTGTTGAATTCAAATTGCCAACCCTGTGGTCCAGTGCATGCATATATATGACGTACGAATGTTTATTACACTGCCTTGCCCCAGTACCCTAAAACAAAAAGTGTAGGTCCTATGCTTTCTGTTTTAGTAACAAGTTAAGAACCACCACAGGTATGCAAGCAAAAAAAAATAAAAAATGTGAGATCCTTTATACAACAGGGCAAAAGGAAAGTAAACCTAACATAAAATATTAATTCAAAGAAAGCACTGCCACCAAAAATAAAAAAAGCAACAAATATAGTTTTGACCAATACTAAAGAACTAAGCTTTTTAAAGAAAAGATAAATTTTTTAAATAAAAGAATCCTAATAAAATATTCCAGAATAAAAATAGAGTTTAATAAATTCAAGTGGAGATGATGTATTTACCAAGAGCTCTGCTTTAGTAATAATACAAATAAAACTATGAAGAAAAATAAAACATCCATTTTCTGAAACATGAATAGTATCTTCAGAAACGAATTTTAATCTACTACCTACTACCTGTTAAGAGGTTAAAAGAATCGTTAGTCTAACAAAAACATTACAAATTTAGAAATATCAATACAACAAAAAATGCATCACAAGATAAATGAAGTACCAAAGGATTATACGCATCATTTTAATGAACTAATACTTTACTTACATTTTCCATATAGTTTGGTTTAAAACCTTCTTGCTGTCGTCTAAGTTCTTCCTGTTCTCTATGTCTTATCATTTCTTCTTCACGACGGCGATGTTCTTCTTCATGTCTGAAAGATTGTCAAATAAAATGTTTTAAGTATTATGAAATGTAAAGTAAAATCGCATTATATTTTACATCTAAGAAATCAAGAGTCCCCAAAGTCAAAACATTTGCCTTATATATTAAAAACATAAAGACATGGATTTTTTCCAGTGCGGTGGCAGAATTCTTTAACAAGACACTCAAACCCTATCCCATGATTTTTTAAAATCCAAGTCAACTCCAAATCATGGCAACCCCATGTGTATCCAAGTACAACTGTGCTCCATGGCTTTCAATGGCTGAAATTTTTAGAAGAATCAGACATCTTCTTCAGCAGTATTTTTGGGGCCCAGGGGCTTTGAAACTCCAACTTTTCAGCAATTGTTAAGTGCCATTAAGTCACTTCTAATCCACAAAGACCCTGTGTAGGGTTTCCAAGAAGCAGCTTGTAAGCTTGAAGTGCCGACCTTGTGGTTCAAACAGACTTTGGAGTCTAGTGCATTAACTTGCAGCATTCCATCGTTAAATGTTGACACCACCCAAAGACTCCCAGAATAAGCTATCACAAAGGACCATACTGAAAAGTCAAAAAAACCACTTCATATTATGTGCAGAAAGAAACTTTCACAAGCCCATTTCTCACTACCAATATCATTAATCAATCTAGGAAATCCCTTGGGGCAGGTGTATTAATGTTGTATTTTTTTAAAGTTCTATAATGGAATCACTTTAACTATTACGTATAGCTGCTTTTATGTTATAGCATCAAGTTAATTAAACGACCTTGCAGTCCAGGGCATAGACCACAGCGCCACACCAAAGTGTAAAATATTTACACTACTAAACCACAAGACCAATAGTTCAAGCTCACCAGTCGTTCCTTGAAAACAGGGTTGCTATGGGTCAGAACCAACTTGACAACACTTTAAAAACAACAAATCCTTTTTCAGAAAATTGAGCCAGTCCCTGCTCTAAAGGTAAAATTAGTAAAGCAAATATGAAAATGTATATGTAGGATTGCTACTGAATGTTAGTTTTTATGTTATTATTAAGAGGGGAAACCTACAAAATATTGAGTCAATGGACCCATTATGACACTAACATTAACTCAATTATTAAATGTATATACCATACCCTCAACCAACCAGTACTGGACTGCAAACCACAAGGTCTGCTGTTCAAACCCACCAGCTGCTCCTCAGAAACCCTATACAGGGTTGCTATGAGCAGGAACTGACTGCATGGCACTTACAATGCTCATCTTCTCAAATATCTCATTTTCTATGTCACTCATATAGGCATTTTTCTACATTGAGCATAATTCTCAAATTTCAAAGACTCTTTTGTTATTGTAGTACAACAAACCCCTAAACACAAGTGTACCAGATATCAGATATGGTGACAGCAAAACACCAGCTGTTAGAACCGGTTCCTCTAAGGGATTTTCAAGCAATATACTGACTCTCAAAACCATAAGAAAAATTTCTGATAAAATAATCCATTTACTGGACATTAACACATTTTGCTGCTTGGAACTTCTTCCAAAGGCAACGTACATATTGGCTACCTAAAATGGGGTGGCAGGTGAGCTATAAAGGCACGAAGTGACTGGCTTACAAGATTTCAAGAGGGAGCCTAGTTTCTGAGGGTGAGGGGGAAGGTAGACTCTCCACTGAATGATTTCCATCCTGTCTGGACTGGGCTCTTGAAAGGAGATGGAGGTAAGACTTATGGTTTAATAATGAGTAACGATTATCATGAGTGATTGCAATTGTTGAAACTGTAAAGGTAGAGGTTTTGTAGCAAAAAGGAAATGGCTGAAACTGAAGTCCAGGAGCGGAGGACCCTAAGACCATCAAGGGATAAGAGTGGGAGCAGAGTGTGGGACCTTATTCAGGGAAGTAGCAACACCAGAGATGGAGGCGGAGAGTGACACTGAGCAGCTGAGGACTCTAGACTCCTGAAGGCAGGGCTGTGTGCTGGCGAGCGGGGGCCAGCTTGCAGTGTATGCCCTTTGAGTATTTGAAAGATTGTATGTTCCCGAGTGTTCTGTTGGCATACAAAACAAAAAAATCAGAAGAGAAGAAACGAAATACGACAGGATGAGCGTAAACCTGATGTCCTCCCATGTAAACTATCACTCAATTCACAATAAAAACATTGAGAAATAATAATTTTTTAAAATAATATAAATTCATAATATACATTGCTGAAAATGTTACTAGTACCACGTAAAAAATGTGCTCATTCAAAACTTCTTGGCCAAATGCTAGTTTATTAATTTCAGTGTATTTCATATTGAAGAGCAGTTTTGGATTTACCAATAAAAACTGTATATAAAGTACAAAAAATTCCCTATTTTCCCTCTCTTTCATTTCCCTCTATTATTAACATCTTATACTAGTGTGGTTGGTACTCGTTGTAATTATGAACCAATATTGCCCTAATTTTTTTTAAATGGTAAAGTCATGTTTTTAATCATAGAGGTATTAACCATTTTGTATTGACTAGCTGTCATCATAGCGTAACCAATCTGAAATTTCAAATGTCTAGGAAAGAAAATCTTTTGAGCAATGCTCATCCTCAGTAATCTATTTCAGTATTTCAAAATCCCTATGGATGACAAGTTACCTAACATAAATTCCCACACAACAGTGTGCCCTCTCTGATTCTATTCCATGAAAGCTGCCCTTTCCAAGTCCCTGAAATGTCTTCCCTTAGAGCTCCCTTGCTCTGATTTTGGTCTTAAACCATTAAGGAGAGAAGATCATGGAAACTAAGAAACTTGAACCTTCAAGAGTCTAATCCAAACTTTTTAAAGTATTTAAGAAGTGTATTGTGAATTTGAAATGACTATTTTTTTGTCTTGTTACACTGGTTCATGTTTTCCTTTATTCAAGTTGATGCCATGTACAATATTATGTCCAACAGATTTTTTACTTGTCGCAACACAGAGGTCAGGAACCTTCTTCAGACTGGGGATGCAGGACCCTTTTTTATTAATTGTTGTTGTTAAGATTTTATTGTGAACTGAGTGATACTGACCCATTATTTTTAAAACTGAAGTCTATAGTTCATAAAATTCACTCTTGGGGTTGTAGAGTCCAATAGGCTTTGACAAATATATATTGCCATGTGTTAAGCATTACAGTAACACTATCCTACGGCTCCGCTTCATCCTTAAAAACATAAGTGGCTGGCAGGATTTGAGGATAGTGTTCTGATTTTAATTCAAAAACTTGTTGTCTCTCTCGTCTACACAAAGTTACAATCAAAGGTATAACCAGGTTGAGATATGGTAAAAGTTTTGACCCAATTTCTTCCTGCCTCAATCACAAAGAAGTGAGAGTACAGACAAGAATGGGCAAACAGTATACTTTTGACTAAGTGGGGAAAAAAGCCAGGAGCGCAGGTAATTACAAAATCAAAGCATATCAGAGCTAAAAACAGACTCTACAGATCACATAGGCCACTTCCTTTATAATGCCTTGACATATTTTCATTCTAGTCTATACTCTTATGATGGTGGTGTTTCATACCGCCTGTGTGGCCCTATAGGATAAGCACACAACTACCAGGTCGGTTTGAACTGCAAGGTCAGTGGGTCAAAGTCATCAGCTGCTCCTCGGAAACCCTATACAGGGTCCCTATGAGTTGTAACAGATTTGATGGACCTAAAGTTAGGAAGATCCCTACAGAACTCTCAACTCTTTGACTTACACTATTTCAAAATAGTGTACTATTTTGATGTTCCTTTTCAATGTTCTTTAAACAAGATCAGGGTTATAGGATGAATGGGATATGGTTCCCCAAAGAAATCCTTCTCAGACAATCTTGCTACCTTCCAAGAATAACCGAGTCATTATCATGCCAGAAAACAATTACTCAATTAAACCCCATGACCATATTGTGTCCTTTAAGAAAAATCAAGATGACCTCCTTAAAAGGCCAAAAAAATCACAATAACCTCCTGAATCGACCTCTGTGCCTTTAACTGAACTGGCTGAGCAGGTCCCCTTAGAAGAGAGTTTTGATTACACCTGGCTCTCTGAATCATACAGATAAATTCAAGACTCATCCCCATTACAATTTGTTCCATAAAATCATCTTCACTAGCTTCAATCTTGCTTAAAAGACTGATGACTCCCAGAAGTTCACTTAAAATTGATTATGTTTTGATCATGTGGATTCCCAACTCAACAGCTATGTCAGATGTAGTTTTTTCATTTGTTGAGATTGTCTTCTCTCTCGACTCATCTTAGGTCTTCCTGACCTTTCTTAAAATGCTTGAAGTTGTCAAGGACTTCATTCTTCTTGGATAAACTATCAACACTCAACAGAAGCAGCAGTCAAGAGATCAAACGACGTATTGCATTAGGCAAATCTGCTGCACAAGACCTTTTGAAAGTTTTGAAGACCAAAGATGTCAGTTTGAGGACTAAGGTGCACCTGACCCAAGCCATGGTTATTTTCAATAACTTCATTTGCATGCGAAAGGGACAGTGAATAAGAAAAGACCACAGAGAAATGGATGCCTTTGAGTTATGCTGTTGGAGGAGAATATTGAAAGTGCCATGGCTGCCAAAAGAACCAATAGATCTGTTTTGGAAACCGTGCGGCCAGAGTGCTCCTTAGAGGCCAAGATGGCCAGACTTCATCTCTCATAATTTGGACACATTTTTAGGAGGGACCAGTCATTGGAGAAGGATAATCATGTTTGGTAAGGAGGAGGATCAGAGAAAAAGAGGAAGACCCCCAAGAGATAAATTGGCCAAGTGGCAGCATCGATGGACTCAAGCATAGCAACAGTAATGAGGATGGCCCAGGATCGGGCAGTGTTTCATTCTGCTACACATAAGGTCGCTATGGGTCAGTACCAACTCGATGGCACCTAACAACAAGAAATTGTAGCCTTAGCTAGATAAATTCTTTTCTGTTTAACAGCTATAAACCAATCAACCAAAAAACCCTGTAGCATCCAGTCAATTCCATATCGTAACTACCCTAATTAGGCTATAAATATTT